TGCCATAGGTTGCCTATCCCTGGCCTACACCATCACAATCTTCTTGGCATGCCAGATATAGGACCACTCATGGATCACCTGTCTCACCTGTTCTAGGTCTCCGCAACAGATGGTGAGAATATACAGCTACTCACATGCTGGATATCTTGACTGTCCTGTATTACCTCTACCTAATTTGCTAGGTTGGAGAATCTGTGATTTTGCTAATTGTGCTAATAAAAACATTATAAGGTTAAGGGGCCTTTCCTAAGTGTGAGTGTCTCTCCTGCAGGGCTTTGGAGTGGAGCCCAGACCTGGAGCGCGGAGCAGCTCCGGAGCAGCGGAGCTGCAGGTTTTTGCCTGGAGCTGGAGCGGAGCTGGAGCACAGCTCCAAAGCCCTGCTCCTGTGCACACCGGGGTTCTCATTCTAATTATTCTAATAATTCTGGGTCTGATTCGGCGGAAGATGTCTGCCAAACTTCACAATGTTAATTTGGGAATTCTACCCGGCTTAGAAGAGAAACTTTGCCTCAACCTTAACTATAAAACATTTGCTACTGCAAACTAGTGCAGGCAGTAAAAGCTGGTATAATACTTTGTGGTCCTCTGGGATATCGAATTGTAAGATCATGACAAAAATATACAAAATAGCATTTGGCGGGTAATTAACAAGGTTCTACAAAACCATGCTTCCCAAGCCTTTATAGAAAAGAAATCATACTACACAAATATCAACCAGCTAGGAGCGCAAGGGCAGTAAAATAACTCCCAAGTATAAAAATACACCCAAGCCTGGATTATACTGCTGGAAGCCAAATGCTTCACGCACAGTCACAAGGAATTATTTTCTACGCAGGGGTAATTTATTCTATTGCCATTTGATCGCTTTCAGGTTGTAATAAGGCATCTATTATTGTGGTATATAATGGAGAGTCATTTGCTATCTTTCTTTCTTTTTTTTAAATGCAATGAAGTCACTAGGATGAAATTCCCCCCTCCGCATAGGAGACCAGCACAAGATCGAGGCACCACTTAAGTCCCACAAAATTGGGAACTATCTTAATGGCTTATGTAGGATATTAGTGGTGCAAAGGCCTTGTGTGCTGGCCCTCTGCACAGAGGTGTATTTCACCCTATGCACATAATCATTTCAGTGCATGAGAAGTTGAGCTGTTGGCTGGCTCTTCTTCCCAGAAGGAGACACTGGTCAACTCCTCTTGTAGGAAACTCAGGTGAGCCACGCGCCAAGTTGACCAGTCTCCAAAGTGGTCTACGTTGGACATTACTTATGGCATTAGGCATCAATGACTGCTCTCGCATGAAGGCACCACCACAAAGCTGATGCTGCTCATGCAGCCTACTAATCAAGTTGGCTAAAAAATATTTAAGGGATTAATGAGAGAAACACATTAAGGACTCCTCCTGCACAACACTGAAAAATATCATGGGAAAGAAGATTACTGACAGATATTTCACTCACACACTTCAAAAGAAGGCACTGGCTGAGGAGTTTAATGTGACTATTTCCCTGATCTATGCTAATTAAAGTAGGACTTTGGCACAATAGTTACAATAAAGTAAACTGATCAGTGTTCAAGTGCTATGAATTTGGTTTTTTTCCCCTGTACAGCAGATGTGACTTCAGCTTAAGAGGAGAAAGCTGTCACCATCAGCTGTTTAAAAATAAATTAAAAATCCAAACAAGTAAAGTGCAAAGTCAAAACACCTCATTAAGCTAATGATTTCTAGGTACAGTTTTAGGCTGTTTGCATGTCAGTTAATCCCTAGATGCAGTAGATAAATAGAATCTCAATTAGCATTTGTTCAGTGTCTTCCTTTATTCTACCCATCTGTAAATCAAAGCATCTAACTTTCTTCAGTTCCATGAAGACAAACCATACTTCCCTTAATCTAAATCAAATGCATCTTAATCTAAAACAAATGTCTCTTCCAAAAAAACCCAATGAATATTGACTTTCTGAATCGTTGTTTATTGACAGAGAACTTTAAAAGCTGCTACTGAAGTTTTCAATTTCCTTGGCTTTTCATTAAAGGGTATAGAAAATATAATCAGAATCATTGTGAAATCAACAACACTTGCTCACAGATGTTACACCCACTGGAAAATAGAAACTTCTTTCAAAAGAAATTAGTTTGAACTTCATTATATCTGTCCCAGATCCCAGAAGGAACCTTACAGCTGCATATCTCTAACATATCTCTATATTACAATATACTTAGCTCTACAAGTCTACTTTATGCCACTGCTGGATTCTACTTGCAGCATCCAAACCCTTACAAAACGGATTACATTTGCCTTCCATCTCAGTAATTGTTAAAAGCCTTATAAAGACAAAATGTTCAAATTTAGGTGATGAGCACCCGCTACTCTCACTGACTTCAATGTGAGATGTGGAAACTCAGCATCTCTGAAAAACAGGCTACTTATTTTAGGAGCCTAAATATGGCTTTAGGTGTATAACTCATATGAAAGATTTGTCTTAAATGTTCTAAGAGGAAGCACACGCAGCCTGGGATATCAACATCGGTTTTCTGTTCCTTATAAGAAAAGAACTTTCTGCAGATACAGTTTAGCTGACATTTTCATCAACCTGGCACAAGACAAAACAGAACCCAGGAGCTCATTCTTCCACAGCTGTACTGATTCTGCTGGCATCTAATAGTAGTGAGCATATGTAATGAAAAGCAAGTGGTTGCACAATTTGAAAACGTGCAGAACACGGAGGTGCCATTTCTACAGTCATTTCCCCAACTACAGCTGCACTAAGGCCAAAATTCTCCCATCCAAAATTGCAGGCTGCATGCTCAACACCTGTGCAGGGAGGGGAAAGGACACCTCCCCTCCTTAGCTGCCGAGCTCTCACATGTCCCCTCTGCAGTGAAAAGATCCATCTAGCAGTGGATTTTCCAGCTCTGCCTCGTACACCAGAAGTAGGCAAACTACGGCCCGCAGGACCATCCTGCGGGGCCCCTGAGCTCCTGGCCTGGGAGGCTTATCCCTGTCCCCACCCTGCCTGTCTCCCCTCTCCCGCAGCCTCAGCTCGCCACGCCTCCAGTGCTCTGGCCCGCAGCTCCTGCCAAGCAGCGTGGACCCGTGGCTGGCTCTGGCTGGGCAGAGCGGTGGGGCTGCGAGCTCCTGCTGCTCTGAGCAGCATGGTAAGGGGGCGGGGGGGTTCGATAAGGGGCAGGGGGTCCTGGGGGCAGTCAAGGGGCAGGGAGCAGTTGGATGGGGCGGAAGTTCTGGGTGGTGGTGGTCAGGGGAAGGGGAACGGCGGGGGGAGGGTTGGATAGGCTTCGGAGTCCCGGGGGGCCTGTCAGGGGTCGGT